ACTTGTGTCCTTTTACCTAACATATAGAAACCACTCAAACTTGACATTAAATTTCCTTGAATTAAATGAAACTGCTAATCTAAACTAGACTCTTGAAAATAGGTACACAACACCCCCACACACAAATACATACAATTCCTCYATGAAACACATGATCATATAAAAAATGATAAAGTGAGGCTTACAACAGCCTGTTAAWCATATTCTAAACAAAACCTATAATATTCTGATTAGATGATGTATTTGGATAAATAGGATGCCATATTTCTGTCTACATGTTAATGTGAACAATCAAATAATGATRAACACTAAAACTAATAGTTTTGAATGCACTGAAGAACAGACGTGCATCAAGACACCATTAAAGTAAATGTATTTCTACAGCAGTAGTGTTAAACACGTTTTCACTGAGGGTCACGATTAAGGTGGCCCTCCAAAGGCCAGTTATAAATAGAATCAATGTTTCCTGTTTAGCCTCGACTAAACACGAAACGCCATGTTCCTCATCCAGTTGCTACGGCTGAGCACAGCTAACAAACAACAGCTGAGCTCTGTGTGGTATTTCCTGCATAGAAACAGTGTTTTAATGTGTCCTCTTATAAACACTGAAAAATACRACYTGTACCACAAGTTTTGGTGAGTAGTTGCCTTCAAGAATTTTGAACTCTTTCAATTTTTGACAGCAAATCCCCACTGGAGAAGGGTTCCAGTTCAAATGTAAGAKTTCTAAGTGGGAAAATCCCACTTTTCGGAACAACTCAGCTGCTGCAAAAATAGCAGAAATTTTGCTGGTGACTTTTGAACCTTGTGCACCTCTCCCTAGTGGTGGGATGCTATCATTTCACAGGTAAAATYATCAACATGSATTATGAGYAATGCACTTWARGGTMAATGRTGGTTTTAAGCGGATTATTTTAAGACATTAATAAATCTTTGAAGCTTTCACGGGCCACATAAAATGCTGTGGTGGGCCACATTTMGCCRGAGGGCCTTAAGTTTGACAGATGTGATCTACAGGATGAGATTAATATTGGTATATTCTACACATTTTGGCTTCATTTAATTATTGCTTTCTCTGAGTAGGAACCTGTTCATGCAATTTTAAATATAGTTTCTATGGCAAGTATTTCATTCAAAGAAACATTTTAATTAGTAAATTCAGAATGGGGGTGTYCATGTCAGTGCACTTAGTTGCAAACTAACCTAAATTTTAGACATGATTTTTCAGTTTTATCTATTTCAAATCTGACACATGCACTCCTTATAGTTATATACTGTATAAATCAAAGTTAAATAGTAACATGTATAGGGATCACCATCTTGTTTGGCACTAGTAYAAGTGTTTCCCATGTCTAGATCTCCTCACTGTTTATCATCTTTGTGTTATTTTTTTTTCTTTCCATTCCTTTTTTATTTATTTGTGTTTTGGACATTTTGCAGAAATATGGAATAGTGATTCAGTATTCCACACTGAGAGGAAACTAGAATAATTAAAGAGTGTCTGAGGAAGAAAAATGCTGTTTGAAGGATGTGGTTTGTTAGTGTTTATTGCATGTGTTRAATTGGTGTCGTTCTTGACATGCACATTTAAAAACTCCCACACAGTTCACAAATAAATTATTTGCTGGCGTTCAGTGTAAACATCTCCAAAATTTGACACTTCCTTCTCTGCTGCAGACCACTGTTATTTTGCACACTTACTCTTTTTTTTTTCAGATTCATAAAAGTTGTAACAGGATCAATTTAAGTTTGAGCATTCTTGGTTCCAAGATCTTGTCATCAAAATGTATTCATTACATACTCCAGACTTKAAAATAAGTTCAAACAAGTTAGCTTTACAGCGATATAACAGCTCTCCGAGGTCAATTGCTGCAGTATACACACGTTATTGCAATCTTAACTTGTGTTTCTTCCACCCTGGTTTGACCCTGTCTGTCTGTTTTCTTTCCAACACTCACTAATGAATTTTTGGAGTGTTGTGCTCAAATTGCAGACCGTCCATGTGCCCTTCTCCTTCCAGCTTTGTTCTTATAAAGCTTTTATGCAATTACAATTGGAGTTTCTCACGCATGTATGAGACAAGATGTGAAAAAACTACACGCAGAGAACCAAAAAAAAAAAAAACTTGCAGTAGTAAATTCTGTGGGCTGAGTTTCAGTATTTGGTGCTTTGAAGAGGCCTGGCTGCAATAGACTTGGTATGTCAGCGTGAGTAGGCCACTTCAGCATGAGAACACCCACTCTGTCATTCAGCACACATATGCACGCCGCGTGCACACACACACACACACACACACACACACACACACACACACACACACACACACACACACATTTAAAATGTGTGCATCTACTTGCATGCAGACCAGTGTTTGCACTTTTACATGCCTTTTCCCCCTCTCTCTTTGCCTTCTCTTCACTGACTGACATGCTTTCATTCAATGCGAGGACAAACTGGAGCACCATGGTTACAGCTGCATAGATGTTCTCACCCCAGGAGACAGACAATATTGAAATAACAACTTCCTTAGRGACACAACCAAAAAATGTACTCATTCGCATGTGTGTTGTGTCTGGAGTCATTTGCCATGCAAGAGAACCTACTGAAGCTGTCAGGAATATAACAATCCTRGCAAGCATGTGTGCGTGTGTGCATTGCCAGCTCCTGACCATGAGTTTGCCCACTACCTAATTCAGTGTTTCTCTTTATAAAGTCTTTGAGACGTGGCCAAAGACCTGAGGCTCAGTGGTGCAAAGTCAATAAGMGAAGCTTTATCCTCTCCGGCCTTTCATCGCACTTTTGTGACGCCTGTGCTTTAAATTAAGTATGAAACCCACATTAGATGAAAACATAAACTGAAATCAATGTTTCCTCTGGTGGTGTAAAAACTAAAAAAGAGAGGCATAACTGCAGAAGGAAAAAGAAAAAACACTTGAGGGAACATGTCAGGACAAAAGGAGACGCAGCTCTCTGTCGTTCAAAAGGTGAAAAGTGTAGAAGTTTGGCTCTGTCAGAGAGATAAGAGGCAGATGGAGTATCTTTTYCACATGTCAACCCCTTCAGACGTTTACCTGGATAATAAGCCTCAAACATCTGTAATTTTCACAAAAAAATCTGTTTTATCACAGGCGCGGGGGGTGGGGGTGCGTGGAGGCGGACTGTCGGCCGTAGAAATGACATCACCTGCAGRGCGAAGCAGGAGGAAATGAGAACGGGAYAACTTATTTATAGCAGCAAAGAAGGTTGGACGTTAGGTATTTGATGTTATTTTTTGMTTTTTAATGCCCCACAGGCTCTGACATGTTAAATAAATTTGAAACTGAGTTTTTGAAAAATCTGAAAGATTGCTCAATATCTATACCTGCAAAATGAAGTCAGGAGAGAGAATGTGTTAAAATTATGGACAATCTGTACAACTTGAAATAGATGATTTGCAAATCTCTTTAGAACTATATTAAATTGAATACACTACAAAGACAAGATATTTAAAGTTCAAACGGATACATTTTATTGGACTTTTGCAAGTATTTACTCCATCTGAATTTGATGCCTGCAACATGTTACATAAAAAGTTGGGATAAGATGATGAAATTCCTAAACTCCTTGCAGCTGTACATTGAGAAATGTCGTGTTGGACTATTTGCTTACGTACTTGTTCACAAAGTGCTGAACCTCACCCCAGTCTTGCTTGTGAATGACTGAGCCCATTGGYGATGTTCCCTTTGTACCCAATCATAACACTGTTTCCAATTAACAWGCTCACCTGCTCCAAACGGGTGTTTTTTGAGCATTCCTCAACGTTCCCAGTCTTTTGTTGTCATAGCTGTTTTGGAACATGTTGCAGGCATCAAATTCAAGATAAGTGAATATTTGCACACAAAAAAAAGAACAATAAAGATTATTTGTTTGAACATTAAATGCAGTATCTTGTCTTTGTAGTGTATTCAYTTCAGTCAATGTATTCTGATTTTATTTGTTTTTGCACAACATCCCTACTTCATTGGAATTGGAGTTGTAASAAACGTATTGGTGATTCATCAGTTCTCTTGGTTTGTTGAATAAAAAAGTAGGCCAAAACGAAAAATTCTACAACACTAGTTAGCAAAACCCTTGAAGCATATGGCAGGAGAGGGAAAAAAAGCCACAAGTTTGAGCTCAGAGCTTGGTTGCATGATTAACCCACCAGAAAGGTTACCTGGAGTTGAAACATTCGATACACYCAGCCTAGGCATTTCTTATTGAGAGAAGATCATCGCATGAAATTCCAACCCAGAGTTTGACTTCTATTGGCTGTGCAGCTGCATTGGCCCTAAGCTGCTCCACAAATCATCTGATGCTCGTCCAACATTATTTTCCTCAGTAGAGTTTCTTGGTAATTGTATCATGGACACAAATCTTTGAAAATGCAGTGGGCTAAGTCCTGTGTCCTTACCAGGTCTGCTGAGACAGTCATGTAGAACTGTGTTAATCTGCTGCAGACAAAAAATAAAAAATAAAAAAAAGGAAAATATTTTAAAAACTATCCACATCCACACTTCTGGTTCTGTTTCTTGCTCAACAATGATTGACACCACAGTCTTGGTTGCCAAGCTAGACAGAGATGGCGTGGGACTGGAGCGGGTGTGTGAGAGTGGAGGTTAAGCCCTGGTGTCTAACACAGCTGTGGATTTTTTTTTTTTGGCTAGCTGGCAGCTGCACACTATAAATTTTTTCTAAATAGGGTTTACTTTTAYTTTTAATGGATGCTGTAAATTTACAGTGCCCTTGTACTTGTCAAAGAAAAAGAAGGATTATTTTTAGAGGGTTTTTCTCTGGCTTCATCTCTCTTTTTATTCCTTCATTCTCTTCTTCCTGGAGAAGAAAGTCATACAGTATGGYAAGTGTATGAAAATGAAATAACTCACATTACTCTGACATTTAGGACAGTGTCTTTATGTTATTGTTTGCAGCGGCAGTACAGTCATTGCATCCGTCCCATATTTGTGTCTGTTCCCCTGCAGGTATTGTTTGCTTTGAACCAGACGCTGCTGCAGCATGAGAGTGTCCGAGCAGGCAGCCTGCAGGGCTCCTACACCACTGAAGATCTCATCACACACTACAACTGTGGAGACCTCAGCTCCATCATCTTCAACCATGACACCTCACAGGTTTGTTGCTTTTCTCTAAGAAATATTGTAAAAGGCAAAAAAAAAAGAGACAACATTATTTCCTCAAAGTCAAAATTGAGTGAAATTATTCTGCTTTGCATCAGCCTTCTTCGGAAATAATAATAAACAGCTGGCTTTTTAAAGTTTCACTAATAAAACCTTTCAGAACATAAAAATGAACCACCTGTCCAGCCCAATGCAAARGATGGGATGAATTTGCTTTGGTTTGCCAAAAAACATCAAATTAGAAATCATCTCTTTTATTTTCCCGTTTACAAAGCTMTACGTGCTCCAATAACAATGAACTGCTTTTGACATTTTCTCTACATTTGTAAGGATTTTGCCAAAAAATGTYTCAGATATTAAAGTACTTAAATGCTATTATCACATTGTGCTATACTGTCCTGGTAACAGCTCATTGTATATGGGGTGGGAGAAACAAAAGAGCTTTCATCCCCATCAGTCATRKAWRRTTTTTATTTTTCTACAGATGGTGCAGCTAATATTTATATAAATACTTACCTTGTGTTATGTGCTGTGGCAATGTTTTACCCAAATTTGACAAGAAAGTTAGGGTGTTTCGATACCAGTTTGTCTCAAACTAAGTACGAGTACTTCACTTTAGGTACTCACCAATACCAAGCACTTAATGAGTTAGAACTTACAGTATATACTTGATTATAAAAAACACATTTCTTTTATTTAGAACCTGATGTTTTTCAAAGGGACCTCAGTCTGAACGGTCATATCTCATTTCATCTTTAATATCTGTGACGTGGGGGTAAGCTGATCGATCTAAATAATAATAATGACACGAAGACATTGACGGCATAGAGTCTGATGGAAGTCACTTTTAAAATGTGAATACCCACGGTTTTAATTTGATGGTATCAGGACACCTCTGCAAGAAACACTGAAACTAAGCCAGAATTCAAGTTGACTTTTAATTTGTTCCGTACAGAATTTCCTGCTTCAATTCTCTATGGGGTACAATAATATAATAGGTTCTGACAAAAGTTTGAAATAATCAAAAATACACACTGATTGTATACAACTGTAATGGTGGTAAATATACTTAAATATGTTTACATCATTTGCTTTCCAACAATTGTTCTACAAATAAACAGAAAGCACAATAGTTTAACTTTTTAAAGTTTGTTTATAAGAACAAAATATATAATGAAAAGTAAAGATTAATGTTGCGTATAGCTGGACATCTTGTTTAATAAATGCTAAAAAAATTCTCATTATTTGAAGGTGATATCTTCCATCTTGATTGCCAAAGTTTTAAACAAAGATCTGTTTGCAATTAGTTAGAACTTTATGTTTAGGATGACACTTGGCTACCTCCACACTAAATCTTAGCTCAGTGCATATAAAATAACTGAATTATGGACAATCTTTTGTTTGCTAAGGTTGCCTTGAATTGAATCAACTACAAAAATAAATCTYTTGTAAAAGTACATCCAGTCATTACTTTCTGAGAGTTTTATTCAAATCTGTTCATTGGTTAATTAGATACAGCATTTTTTTAAATAGCTGTACAGTATATTTTTTATGTAAAAGACAATCGCCTTACATACTTTTTCAGGAAATCTTAAGGGAAAGATAAACCAGTATGTAATAAATTTAAAATTGCAAAATCTTTGGACTATAGAGAATTATGGATATATATAAATCACAACTTAAAGTGCTTTAGGCAGCTGAGCTCAGCTACTAACGGCTTAAGTCCAAAAACATCTGCAGCACTGTTCAAAACCCCAAATCCGTCAAAACCCTGGATTTTAAGTTGGCAAACGTTTCATGCCCAGTTTTCTACCATTACATAATCATCACCTCAAGCTTTTAGGCTTGTACATCAGTTCCACACATCTGCACATTGCCATATTATTGCTTCTCAACCTCGAGTTACCTGATAGTCTGACACTTTAATAGCTGTAACTGAAAACACACCGTTGCTCCCCTCCTCCAAACTCCAAGTCAGCTTTTCTGAATGTTAACACTCCCTCCGTCTGTTAAGACCACATTATAGCACCTATATGAACATAGCACATGCACTTGATGTTTTTATAGTCTTAATGCAGATTTACTCAAAAGCCCATCAGTGTTGTGCAGAAGTCTTAGACTACTTGTTTTTTTTAACTTTGCGCATCAGGAGGCAAGCTTTGTGGTATTTTTAAAATGGTCAAATTGTGTGGGCACAGGTCATGCGTCATGCACTGTAATTTTTTTTGTTTTTATGGAATTATTTATGTTAATATTTATGTTACAATGAAGTAGTTACAAATAATTAGTAAATTATATTTTTCTCAACAATTTAGCTTGAAAACTCATGAAGAACGAGAGAAAAGAGCAATTGACATTCCTTCCGTACTATATTTCAGTCTCTGCAGTATAACAGGGATTATCAATTAGGGCTGGGCTATAAAATAATATTGATAAATCTCGCGATAGACGTGATTGATATCAATAGAAAGTAGGTTAGATAGAATGTCGATAATTTAGCTTTAGGTTTACGAAATTTGCATAGGGAAATAAAAATTGTGTACAGACCTGGGGTCAGATTTATAACGCTTGCGTACGCACAAAATGAGCCCAGAAACTTGCGTACGCTACTTTTCACACCAAGGTTGTGATTTATAAAATGGTGCGCAGAAATGTGCGTATGCACGGTTTTATAAATCTGAATTTTTTTTTGGCGTATGCCATTTTTGCCTTTTGGCCGTACGTTCAGTTGCAGTATGGTTTCCACGCAATCTTTTATAAATCTGACCCCAGGGCCATGTATTGTGACAACACACAACAACAGCTTCTGCAGCTGTAAAATCATTACCCACCTCCTCTATCCAAGCTGGCAGAAATTATTATGTATTTTTTTCCCTCTGGCTTCATAAAATAACTGCGGTCACCACCTCGCTGCGCACAAACTTTACAATATTCACAAAATTCACGAAGGGGGAAAAATAAAGTTACAGACCCGAAAGAACAAACATCAACAACTACTGAAGCTAAACAGCTAAAGCCCAGCTAAGCAAGGTTGGTTGCATCAAACTCACTTACTTTTTGGTAAGCTAGCAGCAACCTGTTAAATAACATGCACTGTAACAGTTTCATGTTTCACCACCGTGCCTTATAACTGCTTAAAACTAAAAGAGAAGGATGTGGAGTGAAAGGAGAAAATGAGTGGAACAACTCAAGAGGAAGATGTGGATAAAAGAGAAAAGGTCACGTCACCATCAGCCATTTTTCTCCTGGTCCTTATTTCAAATAGATAAAACTAAATTGTCAATATCAACCGATATGAAATGCCTATATATCGTGATGCAGTTTTCAGCCATATCGCCCAGCCCTATTATCGATGTGCTCTTATTTAAACACTGCCTGTATAGTATTGCARTGGTTATTTTTATTCAAGTGCTAAAATACCTCCAGGATCCCCACTTACACAGGCTTTAACAATTTTCTTTGCAGTTATTTTAATTTTAATTTTGCCATCTTTATTTTTATATTTTCACATATTAAGTTTAAGCTGTCTTTCACTGGGAGGCTTTTAAATTCTTTTCCCTTTACTCTTTCTTTCAGCTTCCTCACTTCATCAACAGATCCCTCCCAGTACACGACCGTCTGACAGCCCAGCAGATTGACAGCTACTTCCGCCACGAGCTCATCTATAAACGCAACGAGCGAATGGCGCAACGTGTGTCCACACTGTTGCAGAGGAATCCCAACCAGACTTACTTTTTTGCTTTTGGTGCAGGTAAGTCCATAGTAACACAAAACATCTGGACATCACAACATCTGGAATTTGTGTAATGAGGAATCATTCAGTGTACAATGGTGGACATAAGTTCTGCTCACGTTTGATTGTTAGTTCCTGCGTGTTTGCTTCCTCTAAGATGGTCGCCAAACACGCAATCATATAGCTTAACCTCCCACCTGTTTCCTTGGTTTTCACATTCTTTCCAAGTTGATTCTTATTGAAACCGAGTGTGTGTGTGTGTGTGTGTGTGTGTGTGTGTGTGTGTGTGTGTGTGTG